CTGTGAGGGGGGATAGTGTGAGACTGGCACCCCCATCCCTGTGAGGGAGGATAGTGTGAGATTGGCACCCCCATTCTGGCGAGGTGGGATAGTGTGAGATTGGCACCTCCATCCCTGCGAGGTGGGATAGGGTGAGACTGGCACCCCCATCCCTGCGAGGTGGGATAGTGTGAGACTGGCACCCCCATCCCTGCGAGGTGGGATAGTGTGAGACTGGCACCCCCATCCCTGCGAGGTGGGATAGTGTGGGGGCAAATCAGCCTCCTCCTAATCGATGGGAGGAAAGCGAATCCAAGGAGGTCCGCGACTGCAGACCGACCCCTTTCCCGCCTTCGTTTCCTGATTCCCCCCACACCCCTGCGAAGTAGGGACAGCGTGAAAGCCAAGCGGGATTCGCCTTCTTCGCTGAGGCAACCCATTTTCCCACGTCGCGCCCTTTGAGTTCTTTTTTCCTTTTCTTTTTTTCCTATTCCCCTCGCCTAATTTCCCCTTTCCGGGTTGTTAGATATTCGCTTTCCTCCCCCCCACCACCTTTTTTTTTCTTTTTTCTTTTTCTTTTCCTTTTTCTCAGCCCTCCAAGCGGCATTTCCCTCATTGCTCCGTCTCCTGCACGTCTGCCGCTGTCCGGGCAAGTCGAGGCATTTCCCTCCCTCCCGGGTTCCGCGCCCCGCCCCCTTTTCCAGCACGCAACCTCACCCGGCTGCCCCGACGACATTGGCTCTGGGCCCTGGGATTCCCTCGTGCGTCTGCGGATGATTCAGGCCGCGCCCGCCGTGTATAAAAACTTGCCACCCCGGAGTCAGTTTACGAAGCGGAACGAGAAGGAGAGATAGGTTAGAGAGTTATAGACAGATCGAGCGATCTATCGGTTGATTGATTGACGGGCGGACTCATCGATCCGGGAGACAAACTTGAAGACTTCGCGGAGGGACCACCTCGACTCGTGAATGATGGGAAAGCTCCGCGGCTCCGTGATGCCCATGGATCCTCTGAGCAAAGCCGGGCTTCTGTGCCAAGCGTGCGGGTTCCTCTTGGCCAACCCGCAACAGGCGGAATGCGGGCATCGCTACTGCCGGAGATGCGTGAAAGGGCTCTTCAGGTGAGGGGGCAAGAAGGATCTTGGCGGTGGGTGGGAGCCTCCCCCCACCATTCAGGCTTTTGGACTACGAGTCCCATCCTGCTCAGCCAGAAACTCGATGAGGGTCCAGCATGCGGGCAGAGAATGGTGAACATTGTACTGGAACGAAGCTCGGCCGGAGTGGGGGCGGGGGAGAGGGGGGGGGAGACATAGAGAGGGGAGTCGACTTTGTAGGTACATCTGGATTTGCCGCTTGGGTTGGGTTGTGTTCCTGGGTGGTACACACATTTGTGCCACGGGTTTTTCTGACTTGGCAAGTTGATGGTTAGACAAGATCTGCGGTTCTTGGCAACTTGGAGGCGGGTGGATTCCCAATTCCCAGAATAACTGCTCTTGTCATGGTCATAGTTGGCAGAAGAGCCCTTTTAGTTCCAAGGGGAAAATCTTTGACGGATGCAGCCATGGGTCCTTTTCTTAATGGTAGCTAAAGTAGATTAGATTAGATTAGATTAGATTAGATTAGTTGGCTGGCAGGTATATATAGATAGATAGATAGTAGACAGACATAGAGAGAGAGAGAGAGATAGTAGACCGACAGACATAGAGACAGATAGATAGATAGATAGATAGATAGATAGATAGATAGATAGTAGACAGATAGACAGACATAGAGATAGATAATAGATAGACAGTAGGTAGGTAGGTAGGTAGGTAGGTAGGTAGGTAGATAGATAGATAGATAGATAGATAGATAGATAGATAGATAGATAGATAGATAGATGTAGGTAGAAGAGAGAGAGAGAGAGAGATTGGTTATGTGATAGACCAGAGGTCTCCAAACTTGGGCAGCTTTAAGACTTGTGGACTTCTGGGAGTTGAAGTCCACAAGTCTTAAAGTTGCCAAGTTTGGGGACCCCTGTGATAGACAGACAGAACCTCCATGCTCAAGAGTGATTGATTGGTTATGTACCATCAAGTCATTTGGCATTTCTGTGGATCACAAAGATAGATTTTTTTCCTCCGGATGGTATCTGATTCTGATCTTAACAGGGACTGTCTACTTGTCAGCCACCGTTTCTCTGGATTGGAATGAATTGTGAATTAAAGTCTTATTTTGCTTTTTTTTTTTTCAATTTCAAGCATCTGCCTGTTTAATACATTTTCACCAGATTTCAGGCTAAATTCCTTAGTTAATTACTACCTTAATGACTTCTATGATCATAGTAATTAATTATTAACTCATAATTGTTATAAATACATAACATAATTATATATTTATAACACAATGATGAGTTAATAATTAAATATTATGATTACAGTATGCTCTTTGTTCTAATTCCCTACATTTTTTTGCTTACTCTCATATGGGTTTTTTGGCTTGGTATTTTTTTTTATAAATTCTGTATCTATACAAATACTTTATGTTTTATCAAATATAAAAATAAAAATACAGAATCTATGTGAAAAAATCTCTCTCCTATTTTGTATTCAAATGCCCTGGTGGTTTTTAATTTGACAAATAAATGGGGTTTTCCTCAGAATTTTGTCCTTCCGTTGGGTTTTATTGCTGGAGGCCCTGAGCACTATTTTTATTTTCCTGGTTAAAGGAGAGGGAGACCCAAAATGAAATGGATTTGATAAAATCAAATCACAAAATGGAGTCATATTGCCTAAGTATAAAAGAAGAGCAAAGGAATTAAGGACATGTTGAACGACAGGGAGCAGCAGGCGGTTGGAAGGGTTCTTCTGTGTGTCAGAGAAACTTTTCACAATTGCCCTCAGTTCTGTCGTTAGATTTTCACTCGGTTTACCTGTTCCTTTCTTTTCTTCCTCAGGGATTCAGAGAGAATAGTCTCCTGCCTTACGTGTAAGAAGGTCTTGCATCTCAAAGAGGTGAGTTTCAACGCAATTGTCCTCAGACCTAAACAACCCTGTATGAGGTAGTCCTGGATTTGCAACCCCTTGTTTAGTGACCGTTTGAAATTAGGGGTAATCTTCAATTTACGACCGCAGTTGAGCCCAACATGTATGCTGTTGCTAAGTGAGACATTGGTGTTAAGCGAGTTTTGCCTCATTTTGCGACTTTTCTTGCCGCCATTGTTAAGTGAATCCTTGCAGTCATTAAGTCAGGAACACGGTTGCTGAATGAATCTGGCTTCTGCTTGTCAGAAGGGGATCACGTGGCCCCCGGGTCACAGCAACCGTCGTAAATTTGAACCAGTTGCCAAGCCTCCGAATTTTGATCACGTGACCACGGGGGCACTACAAAGATCGTAAAGGTGAAAAATGGCCGTCCGCTGTTTTCAGTGCTGTTATAACTTTAAATGGTCGCTCAGTGGAATGTTGTAAGTTGAGGACTACCTGTACAATAGCAATAGCACTTAGACTTATATACACCACTTCACAGTGCTTTACAGCCCTCTCTAAGCAGTTTACTGAGTCAGCCTATGGCCCCCAACAATCTGGGTCCTCATTTTACCCACCTCGGAAGGATGGAAGGCTGAGTCAACCTTGAGCCAGCCAGGATCGAACTCCTGGCAGTGGGTAGAGTCAGCCTCTGGAACAAGATGAAATTCACTACCCATGGCAGAAGATACATCACCATCAAAGAGTTTAGAGGAGTTCAAATGAGTTCTATATGGCATTCATAGGAGCCTTGGTGGCGCAGTGGTTAGAGTGCAGTACTGCAAGCTACTCCCACTGCAATTTGGCAGATCGAATCCTACCAGGCTCAAGGTTGACTCAGCCTTCCGTCCTTCCGAGGTGGGTAAAATGAGGAGCCAGATTGTTGGGGGCAATAGGCTGATTCTGTAAACCGCTTAGAGAGGTCTAGAAAGCACTATAAAGCGGTATATAAGTCTAAGTGCTATTGCTATGCACTCTTTTCTGTAAGACCTTGCCACTAAATATCTATGGAGATTCTCAGTCATCCAGGTCATGGTTGTCCCAAAGGTGCTTTTTCAAGGGGCAACTGGACTTTCTTGTTTTTTCTTTGAAGACGTTTCGCTTCTCATCCAAGAAGCTTCTTCAGCTCTGACTGGAAGCGAAACGTCTTCAAAGAAAAAACAGAAAGTTGCCTTTGGGACCTCTTGCCACTAATTCTCAGGATCTACCATCTGGCATCTCAGTTCACCTAATGGTAGAGGTCATCCTATTGGTGGAGGTTGGTGTTAGAAGGGAGGGCACGGATTTAATGTTACCATGATCAACTCTTTATCATTCTCATCTGACTTCTTGAATCTTTTCACTTTTCAGTTTCACAGTGACAAAGCAGCAGAGAACGATGCTCTCGACACACAGGTCGCCTGCCCAAATTTTGACTGCAGGTGGACGGGAACTCTGAAATCCTACCAGGTATTTTCAATGAACATCAGTCACTTTACTGCTTTTCAATCTGCCTCACCGTTAAAAAGATATTAATATCTCATTAAGATTTAATGTGATACCGGTTATGAACTGGTCCATAAGTGTGATGGCAATTTTTACAATTAATAGTACCATTAATATCATGGAAAAGTTAGAAATATTAGTGATAAAAAACCAACAGTTCAGATTCAGAATCAGAATAGAGCTGGAAAGGAACTTGGAGGTCATTTAGTCCACCCCCCTGCTCAACCAGAAGACCCTGCCCTATACCATTTCAGACAAGTAGCTGTCCAGGCTCTTAAAAACTTCCAGTGATGAAGCACTCACAACTTCTGAAGACAAAGCTGTTCCACTGGTTAATTCTCCTCACTGTTAGGAAGTTTCTGCTCAATTCCAGGTTGCTTCTCTCCTTGATTAGTTTCCATCCATTGTTTCTTGTCCTGCCTTCTGGTGCTTTGGAAAATAATTCTTTGTGGCAGCCCCTTAGGTATTGGAAGGCTGCTTTCATGTCTTCCCTAGTCCTTCTTTTCTCTAGACTAGCCATACCCAAATCTAGCAACCGTTCTTCATATGTTTTAAATGATGTAATCGGTTAAATGAAGTATTTCCTGGATTAAAAAAAATATCACATATCTTGAACTATGTGACAATTCATGAAAGAAAGAATGAGAAAAAATATATACAAACTGATGTATTGTTGTTATGAAGGCATTAAATTAGAAATATCTAAAAGGGCTTATCTGGCTACTAATGTACAATTAATGTACGATTATCTGACTACTAATGTACAATTCCCTGGAATCTTTGTCAGAAGGAAGCCATGTGAGTTAAAACTTTAAAATGTCTCTTACATGGACTTGGAAGGTTTTAGAACTTCTCAATCTGGTTTAATGACTCAGAGTCGTGATCAGGTGTCAAAAACCCTGACTCCTAGTTTGAACCACGCTGTCCTGGTTTTTAATTGTAGGAGCATTTATGCCACCCTGAGGCACCTATCGGAACTACAAAAAATGATACTTTGATTCCTGAAGACCAAAATGAGAATAAAGAGAAGGAAACACACTGGAGCGTCACTGCCCCTGCTATGGTAAGTTACTGAATAAACTTTGAAAGCTTAATTCTTTTCCAATGCATTGTTCAATGGTCAGTTCTAAATGATTGTTACAGGGGGGCATAGATACTTATTGAAATGGTTTTATAAAGGTGTTGGACATATTCATGGAGAATGAGAACTCATGGAGCCTCAGAGGAACCACATCTGGGCTCATGTAGCTTCTAGTCCAGTGGTGGCTAACCTTTTTGGGCTCCTGTGCTGAAAATTGCATGTTTGCAATTTTGTGTGTCAACATGCAGAAGGCAATGCGCACAGGGCCTCCCAAGCCCTCTGCGCATGCACACGTGATTCCCATTCCCGACGCCTCCTTACCTGCACTGTGCATGTGTGCGCCTCCCAGCTGATTTTCAGGCCTTTTTCGGCCTCCCAGAGGCTTGAGGGAAGCCTCGGTGGCCTTGGGAGGCCGAAAAATGGGCCCGTTTCGTCACTTCTGGTATACAGGGAGGCGCATGCATACGCAGGGAGGTAAGTTTGCCTGGGGCTCGCGTGCCCACACAAATGGCTCTGCGTGCCACCTGTGGCACGTGTGCCATAGGTTCACCATCACAGTTCTAGTCTGTTGCCTGAATCATGGAGGAGATCTTAAATAATAGTTGCTGGGAAGCAACAGTACAAGAAGCCACAGCCTCAAGCCATGAACTCTTGTCATTCTTGTCTTTATGAGTTGCAAATGCATCTGGTTGGCCACTATGTGGACCCTTCCTATATTCTTAAGATGCCACTAGGTTCCAAAAAGAACCTAGTCAATTGTAGAAAGCAGCACAGAAAGATTGAAGATGAGAAGTTTGAGGAACCTCAAGAGGAAATGAGGATTTTCAATCAAAACATGGAAGAACAGTATGAACAATTTTTGAGGGGCTGCCACAGAGAGGAAGGGGTCAAGCTGTTTTCTAAAGCGGCTGTAGGCCAGACAAGGAATAATGGATGGAAACTGAACAAGGAGAGATTCAACCTGGAAATAAGGAGAAACTTTCTGACAGTGAGAACGATCAACCAATGGAACAGCTTTGCCTTCGGAAGTTGTGGGAGCGCCATCACTTGAGACTTTCAAGAAGAGATTGGACTGCCACTTGTCAGAAATGGTGTAGGGGCTCCCGCTTGGGCGGGGGGGTTGGACTAGATGACCTATAAGGTCCTTTCCAACTCTGATTATCTGTTATCTGTTAACAAATGTCACTCTGAATGCAAGGTTTAGAGAAAGGGTGATTTTATTGTAGGGTCCTATTGATTTAGAAAGGGGACTCAGTGGCTAAGACGCCAAGCTTGTCAATCAGAAAAGTCGGCAGTTTGGCGGTTAGAATCCCTAGCGCCGCATCACGGAATGAGCTCCCTTTACTTGTCCCAGCTTCTGCCAACCTAGCCGTTCGAAAGCATGTAAAAAATGAAAGTAGAAAAATAGGGACCATTTTGGTGGGAAGGTAACAGCATTCCATGCACCTTCGGCATTTAGTCATGCCACATGACCATGGAAACGTCTGCGGACAGCACTGGCTCTTTGGCTTTGTAACGGAGATGCGCACGCCCCCTAGAGCCGGAAACGAGTAGCACATATGTGCGAAGAGACCCTTTACCTTAATTGATTTAGAAACTATGAACAAAACAGTTGAGTTAAGTACGTCCATTACTTTTGATATTTCAATTTTTTAAATTGTTTTTCTTTTCTTTACTACCACCCAATTGTGTCAACCACAATTTCTGTTTCAAAATGGACCGTCTTAACTCAACTTTTAAGTTGAGTTAGCACTTTTGAGAACAATGGTATGGGGAGATTTAGTTTTGTGCTTCCAATTTTGAGGTTTTTTTTTTCCCCCTGATGTGAGCTTATCTTCTCCTTCTCTAGGGTGGTCCTTCACTGAACATCGAAGCTGTCCAGCTGCGCATGGAGGCCCTGGAGCTGATGGTTGCGTCTTTGCGTCGGCAGCTAAATCAGCAAGTCTCCAATGTGAAAACTCTCCAACACTGCTGTTCCAAGTATGAGGAGTTGCTCAAAATTTCTCAGGAAACACGTAACAGCCCTCACGGAACCAAAGGTTCTGGACCATCCACAGAAGAGCTGGTCAGCACTGATGGAATCTTGATTTGGAAGGTGGAAAATTTCTCCAAACTCCTGAAAGACGCCAAAAGTGGGAAGAGACATTCCATTTTCTCTCCGGCTTTTGCCACTCACCCTTTCGGATACCGCCTCTACGTCCGACTGTACCCTGATGGAGACGGTGTAGGCAAAGGTGGCCATCTTTCAGTCTTCCTGGCTCTGGCCAAAGGGCCTTACGATGATATCCTGCCTTGGCCTTTCCGACAGAAGGTCACCTTCTCTCTCTTAGATCCTACACGAAGGAAGTCGCCTCTGGTGGAGACCTTCCTCCCAGATCCCCACAGCACCTCTTTCCAGCAACCTCACCAGAAGCTCAACGTGGCCAGTGGAAGCCCTCTCTTTGCCAGCCACGCCAAGATTCCCAACTACCTCAAAGATGACACACTTTTCCTCAAAATAGCGGTGGATTTGATCGGGATAGACATTTAATGCTGGAAAGAGACAGAGAGGTTCCCTGGTGAACTTACGCTGTGCCTTTTGATATTACTTTTTGATATTTCAATTTTTTTAATTGTTTTTTTTTCTTTACTACCACCCAACCGTGTCAACCACAATTTCTGTTTCAAAATGGACCGTCAACTACTTCTCAGGATCATCTAAAACCTGATTGTTGTTTTGGCTGGAAATCATGGGAAACTGATCCTTCGTTATCCTCAGACCGAGGTTGGGCATCCACTAAACATTACAGCCTTTATGGGATTTTTAATGGCCAGCTATTGGAGAATGTCTATTAAATGCAGAGAAATGTGGGATATATATTTTTTTATGGTCCAGAATGTCAAATGCCTTCCTATAAATATCCAATCCTGAGTAATAGCTACTTTATTTTTCTGGGGGAAAAGGACTCTGCTTCCTTCAGATCAATTGGAAGTTCTAAATTGGTAAACCAGGCGGATTAATTTTTGTTACCTGTTAACTTGTGAATTGGCAATCCAAGGACATATTTCTTATGGACAAAGTAGAATCATTTGTAAAAAAAAAAATCCAAAGTGCAAATGTTCAGCTCTCTTGTTAACACTGCTTTCAGTTTGTTAAAAATACACATTTGTCATAAAAGGGTGAAACAGAGAGATTTTCCACTTGATGACCCTTTATGATAAGTTATTATGTATGGGAATTACAACCCAAAATAGGATGTTTGCAGTGGTATGTTGTTACATGTGTGTGTGTGCATTTGGGGAGTGTTTTCCTATTAAATATTAGCATGGAGTGAAGGAACCTGATTGTTTTAAAACACCAATTTTAATTGTTAATTATATCCATGGCACTATTTATGGAAAAGGGACTTTGCAATAACAACTAAGGATTTTAAGATATATATCCTTAGTCTTGACATTTTTTTTCTACCTCGCATTCTTATTTATTAACAACTCTGGTATTTATTATGTAAGAGTATCTTTGTACTGATAATGCAAATAAAACATTAAAGTATATTTATACGATTGATGAAAAGTGTTATATGTTGATTATTATAGAAGAAAATAATGGAAATGCAGTAGCAAACTCATGTTTGATTTCGCTTTTCCACTTTAATGTGGTTCTTGGGTAATCGTTAAATACAGAGGATGTATTTAACAATGTATTTAACAGAGCAGTGATTCTGCTAATCCTCAAAAAAAATCTTACTGTGGGAAATTTAGAGCCATTAGTTCTAGCCGGTTATGTGGGGTGGAAAAAAGGCAGATTTGGTTACAACCAAGAGATTGGTTAATCTGGTTAGGATCAAAACAGATTGGTTACAAGGACGTCAGGCCAAAATAAATATCAGAATTTGGCAAAGAAATGGGGACCGGAATTCTCTTTTTGATTCATTATCACTATGGCTCAGCAGGTTCTGACCAGTTCTGGAGAACCAGTAGCAGAGATTTTGAGTCGTTTGGAGAACCGGCAAATCCCACCTCTGACTGGCTCCACTCCCGTCTGTTCTCTTCCTCCTGAGTCCCAGCTGATCGGCTGGGTCTTCTTTGGTTGCCCTGCACAGGAGAACGGAGCTGGAAAGCAGGTTAGTGAGGTGGGGAGGGAATGGGGATTTTGCAGTAACCTTCTCCCTGGAATGGAGAGGGAATGGAGATTTTACAGTATCCTTCCCCTGCCACACCCACCAAGCCACACCACGCCCACCAAGCCACGCCCCCAGAACCGGTAGTAAAAAGAATTGAATCCCACCATTGTTTATGGCTGCTTGGCTAATTGACATTCATAGATATACGAGTAGTCCTTGACTTACAATCATTTATTTAATGAGCGATGTGACAACAGCACTGAAAAAAGGGGACTTATGACCGCTTTTCACACTTACAACCGTTGCCGCATCTCCATGGTCACGGGATCAGAATTCAGATGCTCACCATAAATATGGTTGCAGTGTCCCCAGGGTCATTGATCTCCTTTTGCAACCTCCTGACAAGCAAAGTCAATGGGGAAGCCAGATCCACTTAACAACCGTGTGAATAACTTAGTGGTTCACTTAACTAGTATGGCAAGAAAAATTGTAAAATGGGGCACAATTAACTTAACAACTGTCTTGCTTAACAGAAATTTGGAGCTCAGCTGTGGTTGTAAGTTGAGAACTATCTGTTCTCAGTTGCCCAAATGTTTTTATGACAATGTGTTACTGCTAGCTTCAAATTAGAAATTTCACTCTAGGTGTAACAGAGTCAGGATTGATGCAGATCTCAAGCATTCCAACCAGAAAGTGTTTTACCTTGACTCAATGCACTGCTTTGCATTACAAATCAAAGACCACTTGTTTTGATATATACAGAATAACCCTTGAGTAACAAGGATATGCACATGGAAACGTTCATGAGAGTAGTTGTGAATAATTATTCAACAACACACAGATACACTAAATTGAGTTAAAGTTTACTTTAAGAAATAGCACAGTCCAATAAACAGTCCAGGTCATATACGTTTTACAGTCCAAAGACTATTCAATTACAAAGTCGTCTTGCCGCTTGCCTTTGTCATTTCCGGTAAGCAGCATAAATACAACAGAGAACCTTAGATAGCAACAGAATGTCAGAGACAGAATGTCAGAGAGAGCAAGCTATGATCTCTAGCTCCCTCTTATGGTAATTTGCAATATAATCAACCAATTGGAATATAGTATAAATCAATACAGTGATTTTGTCTTAAAAGCTACAAACATACATTGTTGGTTTATATATTGCCAACCCAACTAATTGGTGGACAGATTCCTAACACCACTTATCACTTTCTAATTTACAATAATTCCAAAATAATCACAATTGGCAGTCATATTAGAATTAGAACCGAATAGAGCTGGAAGGGACCTTGGAGGTCTTCTAGTCCAACCCCCTGCTCAACCAGGAGATCCTATAGCATTTAGAATAGAATAGAAATAGACTAAAAGAATGGAATGGAATGGAATGGAATGGAATGGAATGGAATGGAATAGAATAGAATAGAATAGAATAGAATAGAATAGAATAGAATAGAATAGAATAGAATAGAATAGAAAATAGAATAGAATAGAATCGAATAGAAAATAGAATAGAAAATAGAATAGAATAGAATAGAATAGAATAGAATAGAATAGAATAGAATAACAGTTGGAAGGGACCTTGGAGCAGGGGTGGGATCTGACCAGTGTAACTACTGGTTCGATGATTTTACATTTTGCTGCGCGCGCCTGTGTATATTGTCGTCAGCTAGCTGCCTGGACAACTGAGCAGCGCTGCACGCAGGTGTGCAGAGGTTGAAAAAGCACTATTTTCCTGCTTTTTCAACTGCAGCTGTGTCGCGCAAAGCAGCTGTGGTTGAAAATGCAGGAAATAAAGGTCAGGTAAGAGCGCAGGCGGGTGGGTGAAAACAGCAGCAGGTTCTATGTCTGCTTTCTGTTTGCTGCTTTTCAGAGCAACCGGTTCTACAGAAGTGGACAGAACCGGTAGAATCCCACCCTTGCCTTTGAGGTCTTCTAGTCCAGCCCCTTGCTTAGGTAGGAAACCCCACCCCACTTCAGAAAAATGGTTTGGAATTTGAGACAGGTGGCCGTCTAGTCTCTTCTTAACCACCTCCAGTGATGAAGCACCCACAACTTCTGGAGTCGAAGCTGTTCCATTGTGTGCTGTCCCAGCCAGTCTATGGGAAGTGGTTAGTTACTTAGGAATTGTGAGCTGTCCCCTTAAGGGAATGCATCATGGGAAATGTAGTTAAAGGTATCCTGGGAAATGTAGTTCATGTCACGTGGCCAGATCTGTAATCCTGATAGGTCACTAAATTGACCCCTGAGGAGTTGAGGGAAGTTTCCCTCCATTCTTGCCTGGACTCATGAACTGATAAGCAGCTTATCGCTACGAGATGGGTTAGGAAAATAACCATCTTTTACCTGCAAGGCTGATATACAAAGGATTGGTCATTATAGAAGAACTTCATCATAAATGTGAGTCATGAAGATACCTGGTGTACCAATAAATGTACTTTGTTATGGATGTTTTGCGGAATTTATCTATCTGCATTTGCTCTTCTCTGAACTTTTTCCAAAGTCTCAACAACTTTTTTGTAGTGTGGTGACCAAAACTGGTTGCACTATTCCAGGTGTGGTCTTACTTAGGTTTTATAAAGCGGTACTAAAACTTCCTGTGGTTTTGATTCTATGCCTCTGTTTATACAACCCAGGATTGTATTCGTGTTTTTGGCTGCTGCCGCACACTGCTGGCTCAATACCGTAACCAGTCATAAATACAAGTGCCCAAAATGCAATGTAATCATTGTATGCAGGATGGCAATCATAATTTCGTTGTATGCATTGTATGCGGGATGTCAATCATCATTTCAAGACATGTTATTCTGCACCTGGGTGAGAGTGCAGAATCTTTGCAGTTTTTACTTATTGCAAGAAAACCTGGAACTTTCAGATTCGGGATAATGTCAGCATTCCAGCAAACCTCCACTCCAACCAATAACTCCGAGACAGACATCTTCTCAAAAGTTCTGTTTGAATTGGATAGTAAACTGGCACACCTGGGGAATCCCGAATCTGAAAGTTCTGAGCTTCCTTGCAATAAGTAAAAACTACAAAATCCATCCCCTGCACCCATCATCGCATCACATGCCCCAATCACCATCCGTCCCAACTTGAGACCTCCCCTCACCCAGGTGCAGAAATAACATGATCTTGACTTAGGAGAAGAATGCTATTATGTCTAACCACATACACTCCAAGAAATTTCCCCCTCTCATTTTCCCAGGCTCAAGAATGTGGCAGTGTGGAAGTGTCTGGTCTCAATATGGCTTCCAAAGCTGACGGTAAGTAGCTTTTTAAAAGATTGTTGTAATTTCAGAGTCATTAACATACCAATCATAACTTGAGGACTACCTTTATTGGTATTTCTTGACTTATGACCATGCTTTCAGCAACCATTGGAAATTATGATGGCACTAAATGAAGGGACTTACGACCTTTGCCCAATTACAGCCCTTGCAAACCCCGATGGTCACATGAACAAAATTTGGGCACATGGCAGCCAGTCACTGATACAGATTAACAGAGTTGGAAGGGACCTGGTAGGTCAACTAGTCCAACCCCGCATCCTCACTTACGACCACCAGATGCTACAGCTCCCTGCACCCACCTATCTCACTCCCACATCTATGCCCTTTTGGTCCTTAAGCCCTACTATTCTAGCTCACCTGTCACCTTCTTGCTCCCACTCCCGATGAGGCATACCGGGCCTGCTGGCTAGGCCGTTTGGGCTGGCTTCGTGTGACAAAAAGCACAAAGCAAACTTAAAAGGATGCCACCATTCTCCTGGGGCTAAAAATAAAATAAGCAAAATAAAAAAAAAGAACGAAACAACCTGTTCCCTCAGCCAGAGCTCACCAAAATGCTGATTTTGGCTTTACTTGACTGGATCTATAGGGTTGCTTTTCAACTCCCCCAAAATGGGGGCAACAACAAAGCAAGACTTCTGTGCTGGCTGGAGGGTATATTTAGCTTAGAAATTAGGTGCTATCTCTTTAAGGCATTGACTTCTGGGAAATGTAGTTCTTTATCACGTGGTCACATTTTATTTATTTATTTTATTTTATTTTATTTGTCAATTGTTTACAAGATAATAAGTATAAGTGTATACATAGTTATGAATACATGAAATGGGTACATATAAGAAAAATAAAAGAAAAATAAAAGAAACAATAGGACAGGGACGGGAGGCACGTTGGTGCGCTTATGCACGCCCCCTACAGACCTCTTAGGAAAGGGGTGAGGTCAATAGTAGACAGTCTAAGGTTAAAGTTTTTGGGGTTTGGGGAAGAAACTACAGAGTCGGGTAGAGTATTCCAGACATTGACCACTCTGTTGCTGAAGTCGTATTTCCTGCAATCAAGCTTGGTGCGGTTAACCTTGAGTTTGTATCTGTTGTGTGCTCTTGTGT